CCACGCAGGTCAGAAACACACTCTTGCTCATCTTCCTCTGTATATTCAGCTGATAGCGACACACACACACACACACACACTGTGCCAACTGCATCACAATATTAACAGAGCCGGATCCCGATGGACTGGCCAGCGGGATGTAACTGGATCTGTACAGAGAAATATTCCAGTTCGAACTCAAAGATCCTTCCCTGCATTTCCATGTGTGACGCAAACACCAAAAAACAAAGTTCCCTGGAGGGATTTAAACCGTTCACTGTCCTTGTGTGTTTAGAATTGCATTTTGTGTACCAATGTTGTTTATATAACACAACAGAATTCACTCATTGCATTTTTTTTACCTCAAGGCAAGCTTGTAAATGTATGTGTGCAAAGAAATGTAAAAAGTGTGACTCCGCAAGCACGGGAGAAGTTTCGCTAATAAATATATCACCTAGTCCACCCACATATGTATCCAAAGTAACTTCTATTTATATGCATCACATGAAGATAGAAAGAACCACCTGATCCCTCTTAGCAATGCACGTGTTTATATGGACAGTGGGTTACGGGGGCTTGAAATGAATCATTTGTTCCAGCATATCATATCTGAGGTCAGTATTATACAGTTGCAAATGCTGCACTTATGGATTTAGAAGACAAGACTTTTTCTTTGTGTTCCAGATTGTCCAAAACATAATCAAGGACAGAGAGACTAACTCATGCAGCTGAACGTACTTCAGCTTATTCACAAACAAAACTAGATTAGCACTTTCTGAAATAAAGAGAAATGGCCGTTCATTAGCTATTATCAGTGTTATTTTAGCATCATTGCAACACTTTTACAATAAGGTTCCATTAGTTAACATGACTGAAAAATACTTAAAAGCATGTATTAATCTTAGTTAATAAATGCTTTTAAATGTTAAATGTAAATAGTGACAGGCATTACAAGATTTTTGTAATGGTTTTTTGTTCATTAAAACGGCATGAACGAATGAATAAATAAATAATATTAATTTTAACATTTACTAATACATTATTAAAAAAAAAAAATGTCTAACATGAACTAGCAATTGTGTTTTTTATTAATAACTAATGTTAACAAAGATTAATAAATACTGTATCAAATGTATTGCTCATTGTTAGTTAATGCATTAACTAATGTATACTAATGGGATCTCTTACTCTTTTAGTTTTTATTAATTTAGTTATTTTGAATTAAAAAGTTTTTTTAATTCTGTTTTAATTTTTATAGTTTACTAGTTTTAGTATTTTTTGTTGGGTTAAACCCAGGGTTAAAGTATACATAAAGTATATATAAAAGTATACTTTTATACACTAAAACGTGAACCAATTTAGTCCCAAATAGTATATACACTACACTAGTACACTGATATTAGGATACTTACAACGTGAAGTAGCCTTTACTTAAAAAAAGACCCTGTTTCACAGACCAGGCTTAAGCTAGTCCCAGAGTAAAATGCATGTTTGATCTGTTTTAACTGAAAGCAACTTGCACTGATATATCTTAAAATATGTCAGTGCCATTGTTTCGTCTCAAGATGCACAACAGTGATGGTTTTATTTTTGCTAAGGCAAGTTTATAAAATATACTTAGATAGGCCTAATCCTGGCTTAATCTATTGAACTTTACTTAAAGTTCCCCTGTGGTGAAAATCCAGCTTTTAATGTTGTTTATGTGTCTATGTGGTGTTTTTAATACGCTTTAAGACACACCATGTGTAAGTTCATAAGTCGACAGCATTGCTGAGTATTTTCTGCTTAAAACAAAAGACAGTCTCAAAAACACGGTTTGAAATCGCTGGTGTTTCTGACGTCACAAACGACCTTGTAACCAATCAGATCAACGTGTGATCGTCAACCAGTGGATCTCTGAGCTGAGGGAGTGAGTGGAGGCGGGGCTCATTTGCATATTCATAGAACCGCGCATACTAAATGAGGCAAGGGTGTCGAGTTACATTCAAGATATGATTTTTTTTTTTACGAAAAAAACATTTAAATATGTGATTTTGGTGATCAAAAATGAGTTTTAAGGGATACAATGATTGACTACAGAGAGACTTTAAGTATACTCTATAAAATAAACTTGAAGTACACTTATGTTTTGTAAGGGTGTTCTTGTTTTGATCTCAACACACGCTGGACTTGGTCTCGGTTTTGACCACTAGAATGCAAACCCTGTAGTTAGCAGCATAAATGGCGACTTCTTTAAGTGACGATTACACAACGTGACATTGACAAAGCAACACTGATTTTGGCAGATGTCTCTTTCAAAGCGGCTTGATTCAAAATGTCACATGGCTGGTTACAATGTAAAAGTGGGCTTTTAATAATTTCCTCCTCCGAAAATAACCCTGCACTGACAAGACAAAACAAGCGAACTGAAAGGCATTCATCAGCGTCTTTTCTCCAACGCGGCGTCTCCTGATGAGATCCAGTCCTCGACCCGCCACTCCTGAACCATCGGCTCTTATTGGACTCATGCAGGCAAAGCAACACCTCCCCGAAATAGAGGCTTTTCATGGCTGGCAGGATCTGGGCTGATTGCCAGTGAATGGGTTTGCTCGGCTCAAATGAAAATGACTGATTTTGTGCATCTGGACACATCAGCCTCATTTTTCATTTTTCTTTCAGAGTGACATTTTGTATTCTTTGTCACTCTGTTTTTTTATAATACCTTTTATCTGTGAGCATGAACGAGGAGACGCGACAGTCCAAGTGAAAGCACACGTTTATTTGAAAAACACAAACATATTCCAATCCTAGAACAAGAGTACAATCCACACGAATGAATCATGAATAATGTGAATAATGTGCTTTTTACCTTACGTCTCTCAGTCTAATGATAACACTCCCTACATTTTTACTCATTAAATTTACATTTCACTCTAAACTATCGAAGTAGTAGGTTGCAAACAGCAGTTCATTGGTGTTACTCAACTTAGGTAGAGTAAAAAAATTAAATCAGCATTATTTGTGCATCTTTATTAATTTGCTTAATTAAACAAATGCATTTTAGTTTTAAGGCACATGAATGAGACAAAGCAGTGGTAAATCATTATCATGGTTAAAGTCCCCCTTTAGTAAATAATTTTATCTCTATTCACCTGAATTATCTTTATCACCCAAAATTACATATTTAAAAGTTTTTTTTCCTTCCCTGAATTTTTTTTTGCTTAAAATAGCTTGAATGTAACTCGACACCCTTGCCTCATTTAGTATGCGCGGTTCTATGAATATGCAAATGAGCCCCGCCTCCACTTACTCACTCAGCTCAGAGATCCACTGGTTGACGATCACACGTTGATCTGATTGGTTACAAGGTCGTTTGTGACGTCAGAAACACCAGCGATTTCAAACCGTGTTTTTGAGACTGTCTTTGGTTCACTGCAGTTTTAAGGAGGAAATACTCAGCAATGCTGTCGACTTATGAACTTACACATGGTTTGTCTTAAAGCGTATTAAAAACACCACATATATAAACAACAAAGTTTGATGGGGGACTTTGAGATATTTAAATCAGGGATGGATTGCACCATACAAAACATATCAAAAAAGCATCGCAACACTGACTTTTTTTCATTTCTAGCATAGATTCTGAGCAACAGCACATATTCATAACATACGATGCTGTGCTGTGTCAGCATGACTTTTCCCTTCATAATCTGCTTTTTATTATCTTCTTTGCCGTTTTTGATGTTTACAAAAGAGAAGATGATCAGGACAGAGGGACGTGACGCACACTGGACTCAAACCCACGTTCCTGTGAGCAGAACAACTCTATCCTTCTTCCCCGTCTGTATCTCTCGCATGAGAAGTGACTCATAGGGAATCATTGATGACTCTGCCCTGACTTTACATGGGGGAAAACATGCTCGCATAACCCACTCCACAACTTAAAGTCATCAAATATAACAACTAATAATCCCCCAATAGCCTAAATGCTCTTGAGGAAGGTTTGACGGAAGACATTTGTCCCCACAGTATAGATGCTGTTTATGCTTAATTTATGAAAACACTTTGTAAAATGTGTAAATACAGCCCAACGTAACTGAATTATTAGTTATAAATACTTTATATGTTTTCCAAAAGAAGTGAATGAATATTTTGAAATATTTTGCCACATTCATGGGGCTACATTAAAAATACATAGGCTGAAAGTGAACCTCAACCATATTTCACAATGAGAATTAATCTAACGGAATAGACTTTTGTCCTCTGTTATACATTATATTTTAGTGAATTTCTCCATACATGTCACAGTTTTAAGTCCGGATGACCTTTAAAGAGCACATTTCGGGGTTTTTTAGAGGTTTCATCAACACAACAACTTCTACTCGGTCTTTAAAAATGACTGACATTAATTTAGTGGTCAAATTTAGCACAAACTGTTACCCAAAATATGGTCATATTTTATTTATCATAGTTTATTTCAAGGTGACGTAGTTACACGTTACTAGTAATAACAGTAAATTATGTATAATTACAAGTATAACCAAACCCATAACTCTATGGTAATACTACTATTTATGTAATAATGTAGCCTAACTGTCACCTTAAAATAAAGTGTAACCATATTTTGTAATAATCATTTAAATCTGACTAATTTTCTAATTGTTTGTCATAAATCAACATCGCAGGGCAATGTTATGGGTACATTTAAAATATGAATTTACAAAACATGTCCACTGTATGAGGAGATCAGGACTTAAATCATGTTTATCAGGCATTCTGGGGGACATTTTGGAAAAAAAATATTAACCCCATTTGTTTCTTATGCTCTAAAGTCCAGTGGTACTAATGAGTGTGTTAGGTGAGGGAGACATGCAAAATTGGCAGTAGTGAGGGGTTGGAGAACCAAAAAAAACTATAAATACAGTGCTTCCTACGAGTGAACAAATAGTCTATCACAAAACAAAGTCAATAAATCCCTACATAAAACAGAGTGATTTGATATCTTGCTCAAGCGCTTGATTGGCCAAAAACTCCATTTCCCAGAGTTCCATGCGACCTAAGCAGGGCAAAGGTAAACTGTCATGTCCGCTGTGTTTTGCATGCTGAAAGTTCCTCACCAAATTACGGCAATAAAAGTGTGTGTCGTTTATTCTGAATGCTGGTGACATGTTCCAGAAAGAGAGCAGAGAGCAGTTTGTTTGATTCAGAGTCGCTGTTCGACAGAAATCCCGCACTGGACTGCTGTGGAGGCTTGAATAACGTGGATTACAGTCAGGTCAGATCATCTCACTGCAGAAGCTGTAGTTCCACCTCTCTGATCACGCAACTGCAACACACTGCTCGTTAATCATCATCATTGCGTCGTGCTATTTTTTTTCTAATGTCAAATGACAAATGCTTTTGATTGTTTGTGCACGCGCTGTCAACAGGTCATCACAATCTGATGATTTGTTTTCATCTGCAGAACCGCAGCACCAGAACAGATATAGGGGCGGGGCTTATACAGTTAAAGTCCCCCTGTTGTCAATCATTTTATCCTTTTTAACTCATCTTTGAGCACCAAAATAACATATTTAAACGTTTTTTTTTCCTGTGAAAAAACGTCTTCATGCCTTAAAATGGCTTGAATGTAACTCTACACACTTGCTTCATTTAGTATGTGCAAATGAATATGCAAATTTGCCCCGCCTCCCCTCACTCGCACCAGCTCCGAATAGCAGATCCACTTAGCCAACTTTACCCTAGTAAACGCTTCACAGAACGGTAGTAGTGGCGTAGCTTATACAGTTAAAGTCCCCAATAATTTTATCCTTTTAAAATCATCTTTGATCACCGAAATTTTTCTTCTTCTTTCTTTTCAGGACAGTTTTCACTGTCTCTGTATCTGTCTCTGTGTTTAGATATGCACATATAAATAAATATTTGAATGAAATGATTGTTAATTAAGAGTGTCCAATCCTGCAGACTTATAAAATATGCGTGCGTACACCAGAACCTGCGCAAAATTCCCTTTATAAATCCCAATCAGTGGAAGATTGTGCGCATGTTATATATGGTTATCTCCTCTCCGAAATAACCATATGAGCTTACAGCGCCTCGTTTTACCATGCATTTACTATGCCCATTTGCATATCATTTGCATATGCATATTCATCCACGTGATACCATGTTTAACAGTACAAGACATTAGGAAAATATGAGATACGGATGTGCATCACATTACATTTCCTAAAATATTTTAGTAGTCTATCCTTTGCCTTGTTTATGAATAAATAAATCAAATAGTATAAAATACATTTCAGAGAAAGTTTTTCTGAATCTTTTCCACTGGCCAAATAGTATTTTTAATTGCTTTATATTTTTAATGGAAACAGGCCTTATTGTGCATCATTATTTGCGTGAAAACATTTTCTCAGACTACGAGATCTGCTATTATCATGCGCTGAGCAAACATTAAAAACACAGCATGCCACAGGAAAAGTAATGATTTCATGTCATTTAAGTGCTTAACTCCATTAATGAGAATGGCATATTTAATCTAAATGTATATATCAAATGTAAAACATCGTTTAAATCATTCTTTTATTTATTTAAATTGTGAACATGCACTCTATTTCTGATTCGGACTCATAATGAAGATTTAAAGGGGTTTTCCTTCATCAGTCCCTCAGATCTTCAGGATTATGCCAGCTTTAGTCAGAGTTTAAGGATACAGAATATCAGTTTAATCTTATTTTGCAGTCAGGTTAATGTGTTACATTATATAATCAGACAGACCACGGCCAAATTCAGATTAATTTCAAATCTGTTGTGCATTGAAACGCAGTCAATGGGCTTTTATGTTGTTGGCCTATCTAATATGCGTTACTGAGACTATAAGAGGAGACATTGCTCAGGGCAATATCAGCCCCTCTTTCCATAAACAAAGAGCAGTCTTCATACAGCAAGTGTTTAAAAGGCCGCTTTGTTCCTTTCTAATGCCCTTTTGTACTTGGTGGCGTCAATAAATCACAGTTTGTTGCATAATGCTAGAATCCCCAGGGAATAAAATGGTATGGATGCAACAAAATTAAGTCTTCTGCGTGAATGTGTGTGATAGATTAAATGGATTCAATTTGTCTAGTTGTGAAAACTGCCACTGTAATTAATACAGGGCTAGTCTCTTTACATAATCCCTGCTATAATGATCGAAAAACAGTAAAAACAATGTTTTAATGGTCTCAATGTAATATTACAGACAGAGACTGACAGTGTAACGTTCAGATCTGAAGAAAATAAAGTCATCCCAGACAGCAACATACTGTAGTGTCGGCCCAGGATCCGGCACACATCCGGTACGCGTTGAATCCACATGTACCAGATCTGGGCGGACACTATGTTGCTTTCTGCATGTTATGATTGTAATGTCCTCAACAAAAAGTCAATAGGATTTTTCGTTTGGCTTTGTTGCGTGATTTTTACACGTTTTTACGAAATGTGAAGCCAAAATGCAGAAGTAAACAGCTAAAGTTAGGCTATAAATGAGCGACATCACAGTCTGATGTGTTATAAAATTCTGATATTAGATTAGAAGTACATGTTGTTTATGTTTTGAAACAACACTAATATCTATGGCTACATAAACTGTAAAATAACTGATTTAAAGAACTGTATAGGTCACATAATACAAGTTTCTGACAAAAACAAAAAGGTTAAAAATTGATAAATCTCATATTTCAGCCTAATAACTGACTATGTGTGTTATATATAACTGGTCTGAACCAAAACGGCAGACGGGCTGAATGTAAGTGCTGATCTCAGACAGTAGGTGGCGCTTATGGAAGAGCAGAAATACCCCTTACACAAAGTATAAACTACTTTATTAGGCATCATACAGAGGTTAGATGAAAAGAAAATACCATAAAATATTTTTTGGAGACGTTTCCCTTCAAAATATATTTTTATATAGACCCACCCAAAAAATTAATGAATTAATAAATAAATAAAATGTTCTGTAGGGGTGTAACAATATATCGTGTCACATATATATCGCAATACAAAAATGCATCAATATGTATTGTGTATAGTTCACCCAAAATAAAAATTATTGTGAAATTCAAGTTCTCAGGGTTTTAGTGTCAGTACTACATTAAACTACTACGAATAATGTTGAATATAATGTATAATAAAGCAATGGGGGAATATCTGTGTGTCCTGATAATGTCAAATGTCTGATGTTACCAGTAAAAAGTGTCTGACATTATTTTAAATATATCTAGTGAAAGCATATTTATCTAAAATAATTCTGTATTTTCAGCTTCGGAATTATGAATATTGTTATTCTGGTGTCTCTATTGTCCTGTGCGTTGGGTTTCAGCACCAACTCCCTATTCATTCACACACACACAATGTTATATCAAATTTAACATTTTCAACAGTTAACATTTTATCATATGTCTTGGAGTATCGCAATGATATCGCATCGTGAGTTCAGTATCGTGATATGTATGGTATCGTTACACCCGTAATGTTCTGTATTTGACCTAAAAGTGCACACTTACACACTTGTGTGTTTGTCTCCACAGATGGACGTGTCTGTGTTGACTGAGCTGTCGAGGTTCATAGACCTGACAGAGCCCAGGTTCTGCGTGGCTGTTATTGCGATCATCTTCAATCCTTTCTTCTGGAATGTGGTGAGTCACTATTGCTGTGTCTCTTCAACTTTAAGGGACTATCACCATCAGATTATATGTATTATGAATTGCATGACTCTGTGTTTCTCACGCAGTGCTGTTATGTGAGAAGGTCTGTCTGGCATAACATTTATAAACATTAGTCTTGTCCTCTCGCAGTCTCAATATTAAAAACATTTATAAACCATTGAGAATGCTGTACGGATTGCTCTTGTTTGAAAAAGGAAAGCACATAAGAACTGAAGTCACACAAATGCTATGTTATGACAATGTAAAAAGTGTTGTTGTTGCACAGATGCAATTCTAATCTAAAGTATAAAAGAAGTCACAAAAGGGAGTATTTTTAGTTTTTTTTATAGCTTTATTTCATGTGTCCAGGACTTCCATGCTGTGAGTAGGCCTCTTTTGAAATAAAAGTCATATAAGATGTGTTTTCTTTATAAATTCTTCTTATTAATTGTTTGTTATGTTCTCAAAGAGGCTGTTATTGAAGGATTTGCATGAATCCCTCAGAAACACTTCGGACGGCGGGCTGCTATGCATGACACAGCCTAATTATACTAACTTAACACCGACTAGTCATTCAGACAACCCACCGACTAGATGATTTTTAAAATTTATAGTTTTGCACGTGCCTAAATGGAAAAACCCCATGAAATCATTTGATTTGCAGATTTATTTCCTGTGTGTGTCTATGCATTTTCTTCTGAAACTTGTAGTTTGGGTTTCATCACAGCGATCACGGTTACATCCTACTTGCTAGTTTGTGGGAGGGGCATTCTCATTTTGAACGAATTTGATTGGACGCAAATCTGTGTAGTGCAGGATGAGTCATCAATATTTTTTGTACATTTTTAGAGGAGAAAAACTACATTTTAAATGTGTGTTCCATTTGTTGACATGAACTAACAATGAAAATTAGCATTTGCTAATCTAATTTCAACATTTACTTATACATTATTAAAATCAAAAGTTGTATCTTTTAACATTACTTAATGCACTGAGAACTAACTAACATGATCATAATAATAAATTATTATATAAATAATGTATTATGTCCTTCAGCTGAGACACTTCAGATGCGCACTGTTCAACATGATGGGTTTGATTTGCTTGAAATATGATTGGAATCACTTCAAGTCTGTCATGTAGTCTACATAAAATTATAATGAGAATGTTATAATTATGTGTTTGGGACATGGCTTTTAGTGGTGAGACTTTTGTTTTTGTAATCAGTCTCTCAAAAATGATATAAAAAAAAAGATTTATCGGCCAATATATCGGTTATCGGCTTTCAAATATACAGGTGAAACTCGAAAAATTTGAATATTGTGCAAAAGTTCATTTATTTCAGTAATTCAACTTAAAAGGTGAAACTAATATATTATATAGACTCATTACATGCAAAGTGAGATATTTCAAGCCATAATCATCACAATTATAACAAATAAAGGCTTGAAATATCTCACTTTGCATGTAATGAGTCTATATAATATATTAGTTTCACCTTTTAAGTTGAATTACTGAAATAAATTGCACCATATTTTCTAATTTTTCGAGTTTCAAATATAAAGAATGATCGGTTATCGGTATCGGCCAAAATGTTCATATCGGTTAATCCCTAATTGTTAGTTAATGCATTAATTTGACCTAATTGTAAAGTATTACCATATTAGTTAATGAGCTGATCTGACAACTAACAATGAACTGTATTTTATTAACTGACGTTAACAAAGACAAATAAACAATGTTGTATTGCTCATTCTTAGCTAATGTTACTTTGTGCATTAACCAATGGGACCTTATTGTAAAGTGTTACTAGTAAATTTAATCACTTTACAACTTTAATTGTGACTTTATAAGGTCTTTAAAAGATTTTATAGATTGCTTTGGTAATGTTAACCCAGTGCGGTCTCAAAATATCTCATAACTTCCCATACGACATTTCCAAAATGATCTTACACATTCATAATTCATATTTCAGTCACCGACTGTAGGCTATATATGGATATTTTCGCACCTAGTCACATTAACACATGGTATATCAGAGATTTCCCTTCCTCGACTTCATTATCTGTGAATATGAGTCATCTGTCATGCTGAGCTGGGCTGTCATTGTGGATAATACAGATCTGTATGCCATTGTGTGCCAGGTGCATTGTGGGACTCGACTAATCTTTAAGCTGCGTATTATCAGAATCACTCTCTCCGGGTGGCTTCTTTGTCCCTTTTCCCGGGTGGATCGGCTTTGTGGACAAGATAGTTTCCCGTTGTTTTGCTGTCAGGTTGTGCTTCTTATGGGAGTTATTGATTCTCAAAGTCTGATCCAGGATCTGCTAGAGACAGAAGGACGAGTGGTCAGGTTTGGGCTGGTTAGCATGACCCAGTTATCCCGACCCGTCATGGTAGATGCTGGAAGTAAAAGCGTCAACAAGTGGGATTCTTTTAAAGGAATATTTCGGGTTCAATTCGAGTTAATCTCAATCGACAGCATACATGCACTCTAAAAAATGCTGGGTTGTTTCAACCCAAATTTGGGTCAAATATGGACAAACCCAAATGTTGGGTTAAAAATGTAATTAAAAAATGTACAGTTGAAAGTGAAAGTTGAAGTTGGGTTAAAATTTTTAATTACATTTTTAACCCAACATTTGGGTTTGTCCATATGTGACCCAAATTTGGGTTAAAACAACCCAGCAATGTTTAGAGTGTGTGCAACTCAGACAGTTTCGGCTCAGATCCGGCCCACATCTGGTACATGTGGATTCAGCGCGTACCTGATGTGTGCCAGATCTGGGCCAACACTATAGAGACAGAGCGCAACGCATCATAATCTGAAGACCACACACACACACACACACACACACCGGGGGGAAACAATCCAACCGTCTCCATTGACTTTGCATTGCTAGAGGCTGCCTCCTTGTCATTCACGACTTATAACAAAAACAAAACAATGTCTAAAAGCTGCTGTGTGACAAGGTGTACAGCAAACAAGCTAAATAACCCAGAAATAAATTTTTATAAGCTTCCGAACCGTAAAAGCCAGCCTTTAAGGAGACAAAAGTGGATACAGGCAATATCTGACATAGAACGCTTTTGGGCGAATACCAATTGGCCCAAGCTACAGCTACTTGCACACATAGCTAATATATATACAGCTAATATAGCTTTCTAATAGCTAACTTGTCCCATTATTTTAATAACAGTGTGTGTTTTGATTCTAGGTGAAATGATGCTGTTACCCGGTGATTCGATCAAATAGTTGTAGATATCAGGGACAGGGTATTTCACGTTGGGCCATTCAGTCAGTTTTCCAATAAAAGGAAGGTAGGTAAAAGGGGCACTGACATAGACCAATAAAATTTAACTTCTCAATATATCTCCTCCTCTCAGGTTTACATAGGGTGGTGAAATAAGCAATCGACATGGTTAAAATTATGAATGTTTTTTTTTTTTTACAATATCATGTTGCGTTCCAGTGGGCGTAGTTCTCAGAGGAGTTCGAAAACTAGTTGCGCTCTATCTCAATTGATCCACTTTTATGTCCTGAAAGAACCATTTTTTGGGGTCGACAGCTTATAAAAATTTATTTCTAGGTTATTTAGCTTGTTTGCTGTACACCTAGTCAAATACTAGCTTTTAGACATTGTGGACAAGGGGGCAGCCTCTCGCAATGCAAAGTCAAAGTCCCCCCTGGTGTGTGTGTGTGTGTGTGTGTGTGGCCTAAATACGCTCTGTCTCTATGTTGCTTTCTGGGAATATGTTGATTATCACAAATTAATTTCTTCTCCTTTTCTTTAAAAAAAGCTTCAGTTAGTGTTACAGCACTTAGTGGAAGTGAATGGAGCCAATCTGTTACAATCTTACAATACTCACTGTTTTAGGGAAATATGTGTGTTAACTAGAGCTGCAAGATTAATCGTTAAAATATTGCAATCTATTTGCAACCACACAAAATGTTTATAGTTAGGATATAAACACTAATGTCTACGGTAGCAATCAAAATAGAGCGATCAAAATCCCCCTTAGAAAGTAAACTTGTAACGGTTCAAATGACGATTGTTTCGATGGCATCGTGACACCAGTAGGGGGCGACAAGTGACTGTTAAAAAATGTATTTGTCACTGAATCATTCATTCATTCAAGAGATTCGTTCAAAAAATGCTGATTCATCCAGTAATGAAACAAGTGAAGGATTTATGAGTGAGTCATTGAATCATTCATTCAAGAGATTCGTTCAAAAAATGCTGATTCATCCAGTAATGAAACAAGTGAAGGATTTATGAGTGAGTCATTGAATCATTCATTCAAGAGATTTGTTCAAAAAATGCTGATTCATCCAGTAATGAAACAAGTGAAGGATTTATGAGTGAGTCATTGAATCATTCATTCAAGAGATTTGTTAAAAAAATGCTGATTCATCCAGTAATGAAACAAGTGAAGGATTTATGAGTGAGTCTTTGAATCATTCATTCAAGAGATTCATTAAAAAAAATGCTGATTCATCCAGTAATGAAACAAGTGAAGGATTTATGAGTGAGTCATTGAATCATTCATTCAAGAGATTCGTTCAAAAAATGCTGATTCATCCAGTAATGAAACAAGTGAAGGATTTATGAGTGAGTCATTGAATCATTCATTCAAGAGATTCGTTCGAAAAATGCTGATTCATCCAGTAATGAAACAAGTGAAGGATTTATGAGTGAGTCATTGAATAATTCATTCAAGAGATTCATTCAAAAAATGCTGATTCATCCAGTAATGAAACAAGTGAAGGATTTATGAGTGAGTCATTGAATCATTCATTCAAGAGATTCGTTCAGAAAATGCTGATTCATCCAGTACTGAAACAAGTGAAGGATTTATGAGTGAGTCATTGAATCATTCATTCAAGAGATTCGTTAAAAAAATGCTGATTCATCCAGTAATGAAACAAGTGAAGGATTTATGAATGAGTCATTGAATCATTCATTCAAGAGATTTGTTTAAAAAATCTG